CACTTAGTGAAATTAGTAATAAAAATACCCCGTGATCTTGATATAGTGATCGGGGTATTTTTATAACAATACAAGGACCGAATCTAGGAGATTACGGCATGATTCCCCGAAAGTCATTTCTCCGACACCGTAATGTCGACATGCTATTTCATCTACAGCACACTTTTTCGATAAGACATATATTTGATATTACATATTTTTTTACTTTTCTTAGACAAGACATTTCCCCGACAATTATTTCTCCGACATATAATTTTAACCAACATTAGCTCTAAATCAGATGTTAGATAGGGACAATTTTTGTCGAGGAAATGATTGTCGGGGAAATGTCTTGTCTAAGAAAAGGATTGTTGAAAAAATGTAATGTCAATATATATCTTATCAAAAAAATGTGCTTTAGATGAAATAGCATGTCGAGGAAATGAGTTGGCGGGGAAGTAACTTTCGGGGAATTGAGCAACAACTATCCAGGACCGTTTTTTTAGTTCCTAGGATCGGATTCGCAATTTAACATCCCTAGAAACCGGGAATTTTTTGACTGCAAAAATGCAAATCTATGATTGGTTGAAAATATATTAGCCCACTAGTAATCAATTTTTATCCTTAAAAGTTTATTATCTGTTTTCGAACTTTGAGCAAAGATATCTCATGACTAATAAATTTTTAAGAATATTCTCGAATTCTATTAAGAAAATAGCTTTAAGCATTGAAAATAAACAGGGTATTATAAGATTCTTTCCTTCAAAATTTATGAGAGCATAGTCTAAAAAAACCAAATTTTTATTGTTCAACAGGTAATCTTTGGAAATATTATTTTCAGTGGTAATTTGCAAAAAAATAAAAAAAAATAGAGATTTCTGCGTAATTAGTGATCATCTGATCATCTGACGCAGTTTTTATCAATTTGGTATAACCTGTTTTTGCAAATCTCTCTAGTTGGCGGGTCGCTTTTGACATTCATAACTATGAATTTACATAATCAAATACATTAATATTAGAATTTCTGTTTCTTGGCTAACTCAAAAGAACATGACTTGTGGCTCATGTTAAAGATAGAACGATATATTTGTTTGGATTTTTGATCAGATCGACAAAGCCTGTACCGGCAAAAGACATTAATGTTTAATTGAAAATCTTTTTTCAGCAGAGCCTCATTGCGGTCGCAAACAATATAAAACAATTATTAATATATAGTAAATGATCGATTAATCATGCCGATCATTATCTAAGATATTTTATGAACAAAAACCAGTTATATTCGAAAAGAATAGCAGAAGGGACCAACTAGAAAAAAATCGTTGACATTTTTTTTTTCTTTTGCTCGAAATTTGTTAGATGATGAAAATCCAATATTATAATTTAGTTCTCGTGTGCATTTTTTTGACATCGTCGATATTGCCTACAGATTGTGCCACGTCAAATTTTACGTATTTTGAAAGTGGTAAAAAATCTAAAATGACCACCCAAACACCTCGTGTACTAGATATTAAACATTATGAGGACGGAACAGGTGCAATAATAGTTCAAATAATTCGTAGAAATGCTTCTATGACTCCCCAAGCTGGTCTCGTCTGTGTTGAATCGTTATTATCATTGCGCATTATACATCAAAACGGAAGCGTGACAGAAATTGACGTTGATTTAGGGATTCAGTATTTAAATTATTGTTTTGGCAGTGATGTATCCATAAGGCCTATTCGAATTTATCCGTTATATGATGAGCTTATTTTAATGACGTACACGAATGCCACAGATGAAGGAGATTTTTCGACATATAACGAATGGGGAATGGTTATTAATTGGAGTGGAAATGTCTTGAGGTTAGAATGATTATGACGATTTGTAAGGATAATCAATTACTATCGTGATTTATATATTAAAATTTTGCTTTTAGCTCAACATTCTTTGGGCAATCATACGTGAACCCAGTAACTAAATCTTGGACACCTAATCAAGCCGCCATAAGAATAAATATTGATCCCAAGCAAGGATTTCTCCGTCTTTCTCAAATAACTGGACGACCCGAATCAGAATGGAAGCAGTATGCAGTGTATGGTTTATTTCTTTACTACTCTTTTTTTTCGATCATTTGCAATTCTGACGTCCTGCCTTTCATTTTTTTAGTGATGCTAATGGTCAAATCTCATTATTATCTGGAGATATAATTCAGGAATACGGGAATGTTAGTACAACAATTGCTACCATAGATGGTGGTTATGCCATTGTGTATGCCAATAATACCGCTAACATTAACATAAGTGATGACCCATTTATGACGCGTGCGGGAT